AAAAAACCATAGACAAAAAATCCTTAATTTAAAATAAATATATAACATTACTCTACTCTCTATTTGATATTAGTATTTATTAGTTAGATTTATAAAAAAAATTAAATAAAATAATATAAAATTATATGATTTTAATAAAATATCATAAAAACAAATTAAAACAATCTCATTCTTATTTTTAAAAATAAAAAAATTTTAATTTTTTAATAAAAATTTATTAAGTTGACTTACATTTAAATACTTTTTTACTTAATTTTTTTACAGATATACCTGATAAACAATTTTCCCCTATACTACTCAAACTTAGATGCCACACTTATGCATAACTTCAATTTAAATGTCACGCAACTGAAGCATAGATGTTAAATAGATGTCACTCGGTTTAAAGTTAATTGTAGTAAAACTTAATCCAAAACCTATTAATTTGGTCAAACTCTAGTGTTAACATTTTTTTTTTTCCCCTGGGGCCTCTGCTTTAAATTTCAATATTGTTGTTTGCTCTGAATTTTCTTTCCTTTGCGTGAAACAAAAATTACACGTGAGAAGATGGAAGCCTATGGCTCCCTCTTTATAATAAAAAGAAAAAGGAAAGAATCAAAGGGAAAAATTACGGTTAAGGTTAAGAAAAATATATAAAAAGAAAAAAAATAATAAATTTACAATTACTGAACCCAGCAGAGCGTGTGATTTATTTTGTTGCGGTGGCAAATTGGCAGATTGTTAACCAAAGAACACCTGTTAGTGCCAAGGGTATGTTTTGGCTGTGAAAATTGGCTGCTCAGACCTCTCCAAAGCTTGTTTTGTTTGTATGAGATGAGACCTAAGGCTGTACTCTTCTACCTGTTTGATGCCAAAAGCAATCAAATGCCATCAATGATATATATTCAATGAGACAAAACAAGAGGAAAAATAAAATGGCGCATAAAGAGACATGGTTTATTTCTATCCAACCAGCACATATGGGCACAGATGATATAGAGACATGGTTTTTGTCCACAACCATTCGGGAGAGACAGGGGAGTTGGGGAGAGGGGTGAAGATCTTTGTTTGAAGCCATATGAGCAATGAATATAGCCCAGCCAGTTCGGTTGAGACTTTATGGATTGGGGCACATGTCTGTCATTGAATTGCTTTGTGACAAGGTGTACCATTCAATCATTCATTAGGGAGAAAAATGAAGATTAATTGATCTCATCACTTTAGTTTTCCTAACCAGGTTAGAATAGCATCCCTCTTCCATGTTACATGGCTGATTTAGGATAAGCAAGGCTAGACACAAACCCCAACTCATGCGTGTTCAAGCATGCCAAACCACCAAAACGATTTCATGTAAAAATCCATTCCCACACAACCATGTAATTTGCTCTCACCTGCAGGGCTGTTGTTGAAGCCAATAAAGCTTCACAATGATCCAGCATGCTTTTCTCCTGTGCTGCTACATCAGCAAGCTCAGAAGCCAAATTGTTTATCCCTTCCACCTGTCACATAAAAATTGTGATACAGTTGAGCATCTAGAATCACACTTAAAATGAAAGATTTATGACCAAGACAAGTATACATGGGTAGTGGTTATATTACAGTCTAGAGTTTCTGACACGACAGAGTGGTGTAAGACTAAAACTTTGATTGCCAATAAGACAATTGTCTTTTCTTAGCTCTAATTTGAAAGGAAACATTCTATTAAATGAGTTGACTGGTTACAAACAAATTAAAAAAAGGACCATAATGAAATAGTCAGCTCCTGAGAGATAGTGTTCATGTGTCTGAAGCTCAAACAGTGGCACATGAGGATCCAACCTATATATCACCTCTCCAATTAATCCACCCCCAACCCACCTTCCCTAGCAACTTTGACATCTGCCCAAATATCTTTGATTGTTATCAACAGCTAAATACCATATTACAAGATTTGCATTTCCAAACAGACCACATGGAAGGTTGCATGGCAAAAGCATTCCATGTTCCAGAAAAGAAGTATTCAATTCTCCCAACAAAATTAACTGACTAAGCCCATAATCTGACCTTTAAAAGTAAGGAACAAATGGAGGATCCCATAGCCTGCATCACATCAACAGCTGAGCAAATTGCAGCTTTCAGTGATTCAATATCTGCCTGTAAAAGAACCAAATACAGTGATTAAGTCATTACCATCCTTTAAGATTTAAAATTTTATACACTTCTTCAACCAGACTAACCATTGCACCCCCAGTTACTGGAAGACGGAGAGTACTAGCTTCAAAATCTTCTACAGCTCCAGATAAGGAACTGATATGATCTCTTTCAAGTAAGGCCCAGTCATTGAGGTTGGGCATCTGAATCAATCACACAAGTAAACACACTTAGATGGTGGAAATTCTAAGAATGACATTAACTCAAGGAACCCAAGACATATCTCCAGAGACGGGGTTCAACTCCCACGGTGGTCAAAATTTTTGCCAATCAAAAAATGGAAAGAAGACATATCTCAACAGACATAAATATATGAAATGGTCTTCAAAGATGAATACAGTCAGGAATTCTTTAGAATAAGCTTGGAAAGAAACCACCAAGTGCAATCCTAATGTTAAAGCATGGAGTGGACATATTTAACTGCATTTAACCATGTAAAAAATAAATTGAACCAATTACTCGCACAATTGATGCTTCTCAATCCAACTTAATGTGTTAATATATACAAGTTTTAGAAGAAAACTTTGGCCCATATAAATGAGTTCAAGCTAAACACCTTCCTTTTCTCAGTGCTTCCAAAGTTCAATGGTCCAAGATGCATATCAAGTATGACTATCATATCAATTAAACTAAAAGCAGGGATATATTCTTAAATCTTTGTCTAGTGGAATTTGCAGCTGATGAAATGATGACATCAAAGTAAGAAAGAGGCATTACCTGATCATTTAAAATTGAGTTCATCTTAAGATCAAGCTTCAGCTGTTGTAGATTGATCCTCTTTTTGATTACTGACTCCCAGAGACAAAGAGTGGTATGCCAAACATTTAACAGAGTTTCCTGCAACAAGAATTTAAGGTTCTCTTTGATAACATTTCATGTGCCATAAGAAAAAGAAATTAATAGTCCACCATCAATACAATGACAAACAACACACAATTGGGAATCTTAGATATATACTTTGCATGTAATTTGGAACTTAAAACTCCAGAGTCTGATAGCATGATATTCAGGTTCAGTTTAAACTAAATCAGAGTTGATATTTGAATTCAAAAGGGAGAATCTCATCTTATTGTTAAAAAACTAATCAGAATATTGTTCTTACCATTTAAAGCCACAAAAAAATACAATTGGTACTTGTTTTACAAGGCAATGATCTAAAAACTTGGAAGATTACATTCGTCACATAATGGGATAAATGCATCACATAGGCAATCTGCTAGTCCTACTTATCAGGATTATCTTCTCTATTGCATATACATTATTATTTGCAAAAAATAAATAGATAAATAAAGTCAATGGCTGTACTAAGATAAACTCAAGCTAATAAACATGGCGTGACACAGAGAAGAAAAGCTACCTCTGCAGTTACTTTCTGTATAAAAAGTACATCTTCTGCCTGTGCATTAGTAAATCGCCACTGCAAATGTCTGTTATAGAGCAGCCGTAGCTGATGAGCATCCTCTAAGTGGCTTACACCTTTTCTTCCCTTCTTAAAATCAGCAATAAAACTGAGCACTGAAGTTGAACTATTGGACTGACTAGTTGGACTAGATGGCCTTATCCGAGATGGGCTGACTCCTCTTGAAGGAGTGGATGGTCTTGCGTGCGATGGACTGACACCTCTAGTAACAGAAGATGAAAACATTGAGGTCCTACTTGGTGATGCAGGATGTGATCCAGGATAAGGCAAGGACTGGGATTTGACTGCTGTAGTTGTTGTTGTCACTCTGTCTAATGAACATGTAGAAAGGAGCCCTTTCTTGGCGAGCCCAGATAATTGCAGAGAATTATCATCAACTGAGATTGCTACAGACCCAACTTTACCAATTTCATGAAGTGATAACAATCTTGCAGCATCACTAGAAGATTTCTGTAATGGTTTACCCAAAGCATCAGAAGCAGGGGTTCTCCTCAGTGAGGATAACCCAATTCTTGGAATTGGTGTAGATAAACTCTTGATCATCTTTTCTCTCAGATCCATAGTTTTATTCAACGAATTGGAAGATGCCTTTCCACCAATTCTACTTGACCACCGATGCTGATCTATTGATCTACTAGGCAGACAATCAGCCGGTTTTGCATTCTCTGACTGATCAGGTGCATTCTTCCCTTTAAGAGGACTCCTTTTCCTCTCTGGTGTCAACTTTCTAGACAAAGTAGGTGTCTCTTGCTGCTGCTTTTGAGCTACATTTGAAGAAGGCCTTAAGGTGCGATCCAAGAAAACATTACCAACCGGTTTTTCTTTTTCCTTCTTGCTAACACGAACAGAAATGGTATCAGACTGGAATGAGACACTAAGACTTCTCATTGTGGAAGGCCATAAACTCTCTGGTAGCCGACCCGTTGATGGCCTTCTTGATGATAAATGCATATCTGCAGATGACTCATGGACAGGAGTTGATGGTCTACATGGTGAAGGTGGTGTTGAGGGACGCTTCCTCTCAGCTGATTGGGCTCTCTTTGGCCCCAATTGGGAATTTGTTGTGGCTGTTCTTGAAAGATTAGGAGATGTACAACGGCGGGCACCTGAAGGGGTTGATGGAGTAGGTGATTTGTACCTAGAACTAACTTCTCTTGTCCGAGGACGGCAGGTAGCGACTTCATTGTTCTTTTCAGCGGGAACCAATGGTGGTCTTGTGGCATCCAGTGCTGTGCGCTTGTGCTTGTACAATCCTCGCTCTGATTCAGATACATCCATTCAAACTGTCCAAATTGCTCCACATTGATGGTTCTTAACCTATAAAATCAGACAGCCCAGGCTTTAATTTTTCCCATATGGAACGAATATCATCAGCTGCTCCCAAAGAAGATCCTTTTCCCTGCAATAAATCTGCCACCAGCACAAAAACCAAAAGTAAGCCAGGACAGAAGAGCAAAGAATAATTATAAACCCAGAGAATAAAAGAAAAAGGGAAAGGAAAAAACTGAAAAAGATGCATCCTTAGAGATACCCAGATCTGATTGTGGATGAATTAGAGCATTACAACAGATAACCCCAAATGGGTTCTGAGTTTTCATCAAGAAGAACCTAAATCCAAGCAGATCAGGCCATATCAATAAGATTACGGAGTTGTATAACAACATCTGGGACAACTGGGGTCCCGAAAAATTAGAGGAAAGTGCCAGAACGTACATTAACAGTCATCACTGTTGGCTTATGATCACATCCCTGCGGAATTGCAATTGCAGGGTAATAGGGGTCCCCTGAGAAAATAAAAAATACAGAGACCAGAGACTGTACTATACTCGGATGAAGCCTGGTAGGGGGCGTGGGATAAGAGAACAGCTAGCTACAACAAGGATGCGTAGAGAGAGAGAGAGAGAGAGAGACGCTCTTTAATATGTTAATTTCCCTTTTGTCCCTCTCACGGGAGAGCCATGGTCGGCTGGGCTGGAAAATGAGGTTCACTCACAATAAGCACCCACAGACAGCCCCACTCTACTTTCATCCTTCTCCTCTCCTCTTCCCATAAAACAAAATTCAGTGAAAAAGATCACAGCATGAAAATGGGGACAAAAGAGTTAAGATCTCTGTCCTCCTTACATTAGATTAGCTGTGATTCCAAGGTAAATTTACCTGGGGATCACACTTTGATTAACTAAATGCCAGATAAAATATACTATTACAAATTAATTAAATATAAAAGTAAACTGATTAATAATTTGGAAATAATAATGTAACTATGCTTGTCTGTGTGCAAAATTTTTTAAGGCATTTAATAATAAAAAGATTGAAGTTGCAGATGCTAATGTTCCTGAAGATATTCGAAATCGACATGGAGCACCACGTGCAAAGAAGATCATTGTCCATTCCATGAATTAACTTCAGTAAAACCCAGGCTAATAATTCATAGTTAAAAAAAAAGAAGACACCAAAATCCATAAAACCCAGTAAAAATTAGGGTTTAATTTTCATGTAAATGACAAAAACAAAATATGGGTTTTAGTGAAGAAAAACAAAAGAAGATGATGGCAGGGCTTTGTCTCTGATAATGAAGACAGAAATACGGTAATGGAGTACCATTCATGTAAATCTATATGTCTGTCGACTGAAAAATTTCAGAGACTGTTAATTGGATCCAAGTGCTAAAAAACAGCAACAAAAACATAATTAACCTAATTAATATAATTCAATACTGTCTTTAACTTCCAGTTCCAGATTCCCAAACCAAGATCTGAAACAGCTACTTGTTCTAAGAATTGAAAAGAAAAAAATCCTTCAGAAATCAAAGTGTAAGTAGTGTTTAATTATAACACGACGGAGGAAACAAATAGAAATTCTATGTAAACAAACGCAATTTTTTTTAAAAAAAAAGCCTTACCTTCACCGATCTCAGAAATCTTCCACAAAATTCAGTAGCAGGCCCTAAATTTCAGTATCATGAATAAATTTCTGGAATTCAGGGAGAGAACCAAGGCGACGATGAGTGAAAGATCGATCGCCGGAAGAGTGATCGGAGGAGGTTGTGGGATTTTAGGAGGGCGGAGGAGATAGAGAGTTTGGAAATTGGTTAAATTAAATTTGAAAAAAAGAAGAAGAAATATTAAAAGGTGGAAGAATTAAAAAGAATTTTAGAAACGGTTTCCCAGTTTGAAGAGGTCAGTACGGTACAGGTACAGGTACAGTGGAGGTTGTTTTCGCGCCACCTACTTTGAGGGCTGTTTGGTTGCGAAAACTTCTTCCTTTCGACTTTTTTTTACCTTCCGCTTTACAGAATTATTTACATATATCTATAAATTAATATTATAATAAAAAAATAAAATTAACACTTTAAATTTTTATTTTTTTAACTTAAAATTTTAATTCATAATATTTTTTTGCATTTTTTAAAAGAAAATAGTTTCTCCAAGAGAAGACAATATAATGACTTTTCTATTAATTTTTTTATGTCAATTCTTACTAAACACAAAAAATTTAATAACTCAACAAAAATTTACTTTAAAATTTATTAAATTTCATATAATATTTAGCAATTTTTCATGTAATACTTTTTTTTTTCTACTTTCCTAATAAAAACCCTCTGCCTATAATCAAACAAACCCTTAGAGGAGGGTTTTGTTAAGCAACTTTCGGTTTGATAATTTCGGTCTATCTTCTTGTTCTAGTATTGTTACTCCTACTAATTGGACTACTCACTTTATATAATTTAATTTTTTAAGTATAA